TAACTGTATCATCTAAAATGTTTCTTGGACACCCAGTGCCATATGAAGCTGTTTGGAACACTAGGTTGCTTTATTTCTCTTTGTGCTGGCAATCGGGATGTTGGTAGAAGCAAGGAATTTGTATTTCCTGCTTGCGTGGGATGTTTTAGCTCACCAGAAATGAGCAAGTTGTGAGAGCACTGTTTTACCCAGGTGATAATTTCCTTCCCAACTACACTTTAGCAGAAAGCATGAGAATTCCAGAGGTTTCATCAGTTGCTTTTCCTGGCCCTTTGTTTTGATTGCAGTGTAGTCAAATAAAATAGAAATTAACTTTTTCTGAAGATATTTCAAACCAGTGAGGTTTTAATACTTAATGAACACTGGTATGAAGTCCTGTCATCTGCCTGTTGTAGCTGCAAATAGCACATGAACCCAAGGAACTAGGCCTGCAGCTGTTGTGCTTGAGCACACCTAGCAGAGAGCTTGCAGACATTGTCAGTATTTAGCAGTGCTTTTTCAAATTCAGTTTAAAACTGGAGACCTCTCTCAGCATCTTTACTAGCTCAGTAGTTTCATGTGGGTTAGCATGGAAGAGGGCTATCTTCACTAGTTCTGCTGCTCTGGCCCTTCCTCCTTTGGGGGCTACACAAAGGAGCTGACTGTTAGTGATGGTGGTCGGGGGGTGAAGATGAAGAGGGAAGAATGAGGAAATGAAAGGTTTGCCTTGAGGCTGAGAGAGATGAAGGGACTGTTCTGAAAGTCATTATCTTGCATTTATAATTACCAGATGGGAGGGTGCTTTAATGAAGAGATTTTTCAAATGAAGACCCCCTTCATAAAGGGCATTCAACTTTTTGAGTGGGTAGGCTGTTGCAGAGGAGAAGCAAAACAAAACTGGTTTAGAAAAAGACATTATTTTTTCAATATAAGGCATGAATTTCATAGAGAAGCCATAGATATGTTTTCAGGAAAATCTTGATGATTTGGCTAGAAAGAGGAAGAGAAAAAATCATTTGTAGTTTGCTTTATGGTGGGCTCTTGGGATCTGTGCTGAAAGGCATAATTGTGTCTGTATGTGTACAAACAGGATGGCTTTCAAGTCGGTATAGAGTAATGGCCATAGAATTTCAGGCAGGACTAATGAAAGGTTGGTGTAATTCCAACTGGCTCAGTGGGAATTTGATTAAACCCATTACGAGAGGCTCATGAGTTGTGTCCGGAGACTTCCTTCCATGTAATGTAGATACGGACTGTTCAGATTCCCCTTCAGTGTTGTTTTATGTGAAGATGGTTTTGCTTACACATATCAGACAAACTCTGAATGATGATGAGTTTCAGTTTGATCAGAAAAGAAAGGGGAACCTTTTACCAGTAAGTGAAACAGTGAAACTCTTGACTTGAGTGACATTGCTTGTTTCCTCAGATCCAGGTTTCTTCAGGGTTTACTGGCATCTGGTAATTCAAGCACAAGTTATCTCTGTGTCCTCATGCTTAAATCTGTCATCCTGCTTCATTTGAAATGCAGTCAGGTGTGTTTGATGGGATGGGGTCAGGCCCCTTTAAGCCATCTTTCTCCATCGTAGAGACAGGACTATCAAAGCAAGATTTAAAACTGAATTAGAAGATGATATATATGTAAGGCTGTCATTCACATTTTTAGAGAGAAATGCTTTTTTTCTAAGAACCACATATTTAACTGACTCCTTTATGTTAGTAAGATGACAATTCTCTCCTCTCTTATAATTTAAGGGCTAAATAATGTGGCTTTTGTTTAAAGAGCCTCCAGTTGTTGGCTTAGAAAAGAAAAATGTACATTCCCAGCTATTGTGTGTGTTCAGCTTTAAATAATGATGATGATGATAAAAAGAGGTAAAAATTTTACAGAATATTATTTTACTGTTCATTAGCACCTACAATAGGAGGAGCACAATAAATCCCAGGGGCTTTCTTTTAAGCAAGCTACTCTCGAAAACTCTTTTTAATTGAGCTCTTCAGGAAAGTCTTGTGTATTCTAGCACATTCTGATATAAGCATCTTTTTTTCAGCTATGGATTTTGGATACTGTAAAACAGATGAACTTTTAGTTCTCTGTTTTGAAAATACTACATAAAGCAGTCCGTGTAGAAAGGGGAAAATCATGGCTGTGTAAATCTTAATCCATGTAAGTGAGAGTTCAAGACTACCTCAAAAATACCTTATAAAACAGTGAAAGATTTTCAGTAATTCTGTATTTTAATGTGCACTTAATTAGCTTTACTAAAATGGAAGTTGACCCTAAGGAATTTAGCAGGTGGCAGATTCTCTATTTAAAGAATATTTCCAAGAAATTATTTTCCCTAAAGTCCATGAGTGTAAGGAGTGTGTGCCCTTTCACAGACTGTTTAGCATGCCTGCCTTTTCTTACTTTATCCTGTTAAAGAAATGGTGTGTTCAATTAATGATGGACAAAATTGAAGTGAAATCGGATTAAGTCCCAAACTGTGATGAAATTGCTTTTCTAGAGGGGTGCTAAATATGAAGGAAATGATGCAGAGCAATGAGGTTTTACAATTGCGTCTCCTCTGAAAGGAAGCAGAGGGTATTGGAGAGGGATTTCTGGCTGTATCTGTGAGCACTGACATGGGGTTCAAGCATATCCAGTCAAACTGCTGGATGGGAAATGGTCAGCAGTTCCAAGAGCTGCATTTTCTTGCTTTGTTTTGAACTGCTATTGGTTATCTTGGTTGTTTCAAATTGTTAAAAATGATCTCTGATGTTAATGCATATTCTGCTTCCAAAAGTGTGTCCAGAAACCAAATCAGCAAGAGCAATTTGAGATGTGATTTGGTAGACAGCGCAGCAGGAAGGGCTGCTGGAGGTTTTCTGTCTGTAAGGGGGCACGGTGTGCTGCTCCTCCGGTTGCAAACAGACTGGCTTTTAAATTTATGTTTAAACTAAGTTTAAAACAGGAGTGGGAAAATACTGTCTTTTCAGTGAAACAGTGTTTGCCGACAAGGTTGTGGGGCTGCCCTGTGCTGCTTGCAAAAGCTGCTGCTTCTACCAGAGGGAATGTTCAGGCAATCAAATCTAGAATCTAGCCTTGGACCTTTATACAGCACAAGTCAGGACTACAGTGGGATCGGTATCGTGGACACATGAGGAAAGGGCAATCATTATAATTATATATTTGGGAAACACAAAAGGATTTTATCCTGCCTTATGAATGTCTTGCCCGCTTGAATGTTGTGTGTCATGTATTTACTTACATATATAAAACACACCTATTTTATTACATGCTTAAGTTACAGTAATGAAGATTATTTCTGCCTGTGACTGTAGGCAGGATGGCATGTAACAAAGGGATTACATTCTTTTCCCTTTTCCCATCTCCCATCAAAAAATGAGGCACTGATCGGATAATAGTTTATATTCCGGTAAATGGGTCCACCTGCAGGCATAGTTTTGGAGAATCAGGGGTGTTTAGTTTCTTAAACACTGCTGCTGGAGGACTTCTTATATTAAAAGGCACTGACAATAAACAAAGTCTAAAATCCTTTTGCCTTTAGAGGGCAGGGTCCACCGTTCTGGAGATGACTTGGCCATCTGCAGTTGGACTTTAGAAAGATCTGTGTTCAGTTTTCTCTTAAGAACATTAAGATGATGACACAACTGAGGGTCTGGGTGAAATATGACTTAAAAGTCACTGATGTATTTGACAATGTGGTATGCAGAGGTCTTCTGATCAAGCAACAGTTCACCGGATGGAGAAAAATAGCTCTGATCAGTGTGTGACCTTGAAAATGGTCATGGGTTTTCCTCTGCCTGACTGGCTGAAAGAGAACAGAGAAGTTCTGTCTCCTGGTATTAGTTGTTGCTTATCTGGAACAAGTAACTGAAAATGGGGTTTTTTGCTGTTCTTAAATAGCTGCAATTCTCAGAATTTTATATATATGAGAATCACTTATAAGAAGTGAGTGGTGCTCTGCTCAAGATCTAGCATTTGAAAGAACTCGGTAATAGCAAGTCCCGTCCTGAGGGCCAGAACTCTACTCCTGCTTTATCAGCTTGTGCTTCAAGGCAGATGACACTTATCCTTGCATCACTTTTAGGTTTTTACTTAGTTTTTCTATGCATATTCACGGTTCTGAGTATCAGAGTCTATCTTAATGGCATTCCAGTGTATACATTAAAAAAAAAAAACAACTTCTTTATACAATGTCAGATGAAAAGAAATGTTCAAAACTGAATAATGAAAATTACAGGTTATCCCTTCACTACTTTTAGTCAGGCTAAAAATGTAGAATAATTATTTTTTAGGAATTCCAAAGGAGTAAAACTTTTTTATTTCTTACAGAACAATGAGATCATAGTTTAATGAACAGGGCAACTCTGTGTCAGTCTGTATCATGCTCAGCGTAACTTAGGTTTCTGCTTGACCTCTGGAAATACACTGTGGGAAACATTTCTGCTCAAACACTATGGCAAAAAATGGAAACTCGGGAAAGCAGTATGTTTGTCATTAGGCTGAAGTGAAAGGGCTGAGATAAAAGATTAAGCGGTACATTTCATTGTGTAAGTATGAATGTGTGTGTTCAGTGTGAGGATATACTTTCAACCCTGTTCTACCTTCTTGAATGCTATTGCTTTGGGGTATTTGAACATTAGACAACAGGCTAGAGGGATCTTAAGTTTCTCTTTATGTGTGAGTTGAGAAGATTTTAATAAAAATTGAATTTGATGTGTAAAAATCCCCACTGTTTAATATCATTCCTGAGGAATATTAGCTCTGCAATGGTTCAGTGACATCCCTCACTGCTTCCAAGTGTCAGCAAATCCACATTACTTCACTCTTTTATCAGTATGCTGTTCAAAGAAAAGCTTGCCCTTGGCACACACTTGAAAAATTTCAAAACTTGGACAGTTTTCTGGGTGTTTATGGGGGTTTTTTTGTTTGTTTTTCTTTTTTATGTCTGCTGTGACATTTTACACAAGATGAGTTCTGCAATGCAAATTTTTTTTTTTTTTTTTTTCCTCCACAGATGAAATCATGCATCAGGATATCATTCCCCTCTATGCTGCAGATATTCAGGACCAGTTAAAGAAACAATTTGCTTACCTGTCAGGTAAGACTATGGTGTTCCCTCCTATACGCATTTCTTAGATGAATGCTTCAGCCTGTTGTGCTTTCACAGTTTCTGATGTCTGATACAGGAGAAATTCGTATTTATGAGCAACTCAAAATACAGCCTATCTAGACTTGGTACTTAAGGATTTACAAGATGGGGTTTTTTTATTTAAAAAAAAGAAGTCTAATAGAAATTTTAGATTATAGTTAATTTTTCAGTTAACTGGACAACGCAGCATGGATGTGTTGGTGGTTGCTATGGTCTTGCAGTCCTTGGCCCACAGCCTCAGCTGCCACTGGCTCTATTGTCAGGTTTGATACTGAAGCCCAAGTTGACACCTTGGTCTCAACCTAAGTGCTGAAATGAGCAGCACGGTACCGTGTTCCCCTGCAGCCTCAGTGCTAGGGTCAGGCACATATAGCATCAAGATCTGGGACAGGGTTTTTGGTGTGGTATTACTGTCTGCCATCTACAAAGGAACCTGCTTAGGTGTAAAACCATCTCTAAAAGCAGCACAGCCATATTCACCCAGCACAGAGCATCTTTCCCCCTGGATAACCTGTGCCAGGTAGGTGATGGGGACCTGTGTTTGTGCCAAGCAAATGTTGGTTGCAGAACTTGGTCCATCTCAGTGCTGGGACCATCACTGGCTCATAACGGGTAAAAGGAGATATAGCTCATTTGCTCAATGATCAGGCTGTGTCAGGTGGCTGACAAGCTTCTGAGTTTGTTTTCACACTTCCTGCCTGTAAAGCTCTCCTAGTTGTGCAGCAGTGAACTTGCTGGAGTTACTGCCCTGCCCTTCCTTCCATACATAGGGAGAGCATCAGTGGCTTTGCAGAGCTGCCCTGCCCTGCCTCGCCTCCTTCAGTACAAGGAGCATTTGCCCCACGTTGTGGGACAAGTGAATCATTATTACTCCCTTTTCCTTTTAACCCCTCAATGCATAAGATCAAGAGACATGGGAGAATGAAGAAATATGCCACTTTGCATGGTAATAGCTCATTGAATCCTGTACTTATAATTAACCATTAATTATGATTTGTCCCTGCCACACAAGGTAAACTAAGTGTGGGTCTGTGGTAGTGACTGTGTTTTCTAAGGGGTGGTGGTAGCACTTGGAAATAACATCATTTTGTTTATGAAGTTGGCTGTTCATGCTCCATTTGAAATGATGGTACTTAAGCTACAATTGTTTTTCTTGTCAGTTGACTTTCCAGGCTCTTCCTTCTTACTCAGCCTCCGAAAACAGCTCATAATAGTGTTATACAAGAATCAGCCTATTTGGGAACCAGGAAGTAGGGTTTACACTTTGTGCCTCAAAAATGAAGGGAGAAACTGATAAGTTGAAAAAAAATCTCATTGGGTCCAACTGGAAATTGTTCACATTTTAAGATTGTTGAGTTCACACAACTACAAGCATCTTCAGCGTACCTTACATGCGCTGTGCAGTGGAGCTTAGTAAGAGCTGCCATTCCTCATTCTATTCTGTTTATTCACTCTGCTGTCTACTAGAAGTCTGGGTTTTTTTCCAAATACTAGGCCAGCTGCATTACTGTGGACTGTAACTATATTCTCTGTTGTATTTTATTATTCTTGGGCAATTTGACTGTTGGGCATTTTCATTTCACTTTGGACTTCAACTCTCTTATGGTAACATTCTATTGTGGGACACTAACAGTCAATTTTCTGTGCTGTACCAAATAGTGGTACAGGTTCTGTGAGCAAAGGAGCAGAGATAATATTTTGGTAACTTGATTTACGCACAATTTGTTCTTGCAGTTGTGCTACCAGGTGGCTTTGCTGTAATGTCAGTTAAGACACTCATAGTTCAGGTGAAGGGGATTTTTCTGCTTATTACTAAGTTGCCTTGGAAATCGAATTTTAGGACCTAGTGCAAAAACCGTTAGAATGAAAGTCCATAGATTACAAATACATTTAGTAGATATCAGCTTTGCAGGTATGGTGATTTGAATAATGTGTTAGATGCTTTTCAAGGTTTAGGTTTTGGCTTTGTAATAGGAATGTGACATATACTTGAGAATCACTTTAGTGTCTCTAATAGGATGTATCTAGGTCTCGTGGAACATTTGCTTGAATAGTGAAAGAAACCTAGTCTACTTCTGTGCCTAAAGACTGTACCCCTTCTGGGCTACTTCCTGTGTTTTGGTGTAAATTGGGGTCATTTTTTTTCCCTTGTTCTCTTTTCCTCAGCAGATACAAAGTAATTTGTGTCCCTCTACGTCATAATGGAAGTGCTGCAGAAACAGCCAAATTTAGGTTTGGAATGAAAAAAATTTAAACAAAAACTTTCATTAATGCTTCAGTTCCTTACAGTATTTCATTCACATTTTATATTTATTTTTATTAGTATTTTCTGTATTCTTTCCTTGATTGGAAAGGTATTGTGTGACTTTCATACCCAACTTTGCAATGATCTGCCATTGCTGTATGCAGATATGTTAAAATGAATGTAGATGAAGAGGAATGTACAGACAGGTGTGTATGTTTATATGAATTTTGAATTGTACAAGCTATGTGATGTGCAGGTGAGACTCTTGGACACTATAAGTACTGAACCAGTTATTTCAACTTGCTTTCCTTTGAATGCCTCTTTGCACTGAACAACTTCAAACAAAATATTTCCATTAAAAGAAATACAAATATGAGTTCATGGTACTTGCATTTTTACCCATCAATTCATAGTTGTTTTTCCTGCTGTTGGAAAAAGTTAGCATTGGTACTAGCTTTCCAAATGCTCATATCTCTGTCCTTTTAAATTATCATTCTAAATAATAAGCTTCTCTTTGCTCTTTGTAACTTTGTTTACTTGGCTATGTTCTTGCTTACCTGTGGTGAAATGACCTGAAAATACCTCACTAGTTAAACTGTTCCCTTTGAAGTCTCCACAGGTGCCAAGTCTGTCTGTAAAATTGTGTTTGAGAACTTCTGAGTGGGTCCTGTACCACATACATTGCATCAGTTAGTTAAAAATTTCGACTCTATGCTGCTGATATAACATGGTCAATGTCTGTTGCACATTGACAGTGGAAGAGGTATTATGTAGCAGTTTCTGTCTTGTGCAGGTATAAACTTAACTGCTGTTTTATATTCACTGTCTTAAACCCACTTTCCATAGAGATTTATTTTTTAAAAGAAAAAAAATAGTAAAAAAGAGAAAAGAAAGAAATGAATCCTTGGCTAAGAGATCTCCAGTTCAAATACTTTCAGGTACAAATTTACTTAACTCAGTCTGGTTTCTGAGCCAGTACACTTGCTGCTTATGAGCCTGGGCTGATGCAGCTTGGAAAGGTACACAAATAAAAATTCTCTCTCATTTCAAGGAAAGAATATTTTAATATATTTCTCTAATTCTATTTTTATTTGCAAAGGGTATGCAGAGAAGCTTTTATCCACTACCTCATTGAAGTCTACATGTAATTTCAGATACTCCTAAGTACTCCAGTGTATTATGCAAGGAGAAAGGAGAAATTCTTTATCAGAAACATAGAGACATAATAGCTGAACCACCATAACAGTAAAGCAAAATCTGTAGTAAGCCTTTCTCTCATTCAGGCAAGAAATTTGCTTTTGACATGACTACAAATAAGGTTACTTTACTTAAGCTAGGTCTTTTGAACCAAAGATGTAGTTCTAAACTGTTTAATGATGTTGATGCTCCTGCTTTTGTGTGTGCATATTGATCAACATAGGGATCACTTTTTTTTTTTTAATAGTCTGAAAGCTATTTAATTTGCATTATAGATTCAGGCTGGAAGACCTATCTCTTTGCTTCATCATCATCCAATTATATCCAGCTACCTTGCTTCCTTTTTGTGGGGTTAGGCAGAGTATTTCTAAGAAAACCTTTCCTTATGTCTGAGGAGGGGAATAATTAGGGGAACATTGCAAAATGGTTTCCTGCTCTTCTTTCCTGGAAGTCTGACCAATCTCTTTGCTGTTCCTGTATTTTGCTGGCCTTACCAAAAAAAAACCACAATAGTGTGTCTTTCACAACACTGTGAGGTATTACCCTTTTCTCTATGTGTGTGTGCACCCACATGCGTGTAGTTTAGATGATGTACAATTCATAGTTTTTGTAATTTTCCCTGTTAGTGCCATCTTAAATGGAAATGAAATTATTTCTTATATGAGATTGGTTTTAGACACCAAGTCAGTAACATACCTTTTGATTACATTTGTGTAAAACAGTGTTATAATTTCCTTGGTTTGGCACTACTATCACCCTACCTGCTTAATCATAGAATCCTAGAATAGAATCATAGAATAGTTAGGGTTGGAAAGGACCTTAAGATCATTTAGTTCCAACCCCCCTGCCATGGGCAGGGACACCTCACACTAAATCATATCACCCAAGGCCTCATCCAACCTGGTCTTGAACACTGCCAGGGATGGAGCATTCACAACCTCCCTGGGCAACCCATTCCAGTGCCTCACCACCTTAACAGGAAAGAATTTCCTCCTTATATCCAATCTAAACTTCCCCTGTTTAAGTTTGAACCCGTTATCCCTTGTCCTGTCACTACAGTCCCTAATGAAGAGTCCCTCCCCAGCATCCCTATTGGCCCCCTTCAGATACTGGAAGGCTGCTATGAGGTCTCCACTCAGCCTTCTCTTCTCCAGGCTGAACAGCCCCAACTTTCTCAGCCTGTCTTCATACGGGAGGTGCTCCATTCTCCTGATCATCCTCATTGTCCTCCTCTGGACTTGTTCCAACAGTTCCATGTCCTTTTTATGTTGAGGACACCAGAACTGCACACAATACTCCAAGTGAGGTCTCACGAGAGCAGAGTAGAGGGGCAGGATCACCTCCTTCGACCTGCTGGCCACGCTCCTTTTGATGCAGCCCAGGATACGGTTGGCTTTCTGGGCTGCGAGCGCACGCTGAAGCCTGCTCATGTTCATTTTCTCATCAGCCAACACCCCCAAGTCCTTCTCAGCAGGGCTGCTCTGAATCTCTTCTCTGCCCAACCTGTAGCTGTGCCTGGGATTGCTCCAACCCAGGTGTAGGACCTTCCACTTGTCATGGTTTTAATAAAAAACCCCAAACAAAACAAACCCAAAAGATATTACAGCTGTGATAGGAGCAGTTAGATGTTGCAGATTATAAAGAATAAAAGCTAAATTACCTAGACATAAGGTAAATTTTACCAGTCCCATCTCACAATAGCACAGCTAGTTTTCCAAGTATAATTTTTCCACTCCATTCATACGCAAGATCACAATGCTTTTGGTCCATATAACTTTAATTGTTGGTGCTGTTTAAATAATTATATGCAAAAGTTAGGAACATGAAGTGCTGTTTCTTAAGCACAGTTAAGTGATTTTGCTGCCTAACCCATGGAGCTAATGCAATTCAACATGTTTTTAACATGCGTTTTTTTCCAAATCCCAGTGTTGTTGCTGTTGTAAAAACCAGCTTTAGACTAAGGCATGTAGATCTGTTCAGAAGAGCGCCACCTAACTGGAGGTTTAGTAAAATTTTAGATGTTTAGCCACTGAAAAATTACCATTTCAGAGCAGTAATCTGTGTTTTCTTTTATACCACATCTGTTAAAGAAGTTTCAGTTAAATAGGTTGTAAAAGTCAGGTGTAAGTGAGTTAATAAAAAAGTTTGCCTTTAATGAAGTCTCATGGAAGTAGGATGGAAGCAGGTCCACTTCATTTGAAGCGGTGTGGTAGTTTTTTAATTGCTGATATGTGCTCTTTACTTCTATGATGTTTCCATTTTTAGACTGAAAAGTAATAATCCTCTCAGTTGGAGAATGTTCCTTACAGCTGCATTTATGAGACAAGTCTCAAGTGATTCTTGGGAACCATTTCAGGTAAAATGTGTGTGGACTGATTGCACACGCTTAAGGGCTGTCTTCTCTTAAGGCATGTGTTCTCTTATGCACTTTACAATAAACAAAACCTAAAGCTGGCACTCAGGTGGCATTTGTTTAATATTTCAAGAAGAAATAATATTGAATGTTTTTCCACATTTTCATAGACTCACAGAACAGTTTGGAAGGAACCTTTAAAGGTCGTCTAGTCCAACCCCCGTTCTGTGGGTAAGGACATAATTCACTAGTCAGGTTGCTCAATCTCCATCCAACCTGACGTTTGCATAGTTACAACAGTATTTATATTTTTTAACAAAAAAGAAGGGGACTTAATATCCTTTCAGAAATTTATATTTTAAAAAAACCTGGCAACTAAAATTAGACTAAGAAAATATTCTCAATGCTCTCAAGGACATACTTGGTTCTCTTAGGAATGCATAAAACTATTCAATTCCAGCTGTATAGGTGAGAGCATCCCTGGTTATCCCTAGAAATAAGAGAGTGGGCTTGTGTGTGCCAGTGTGTACAGAGCTTGCCCCATAAATAGATTTAGGCTGTTCCACAGATGTGGCTGAAGTTTCAGTACTGTGAGCTAGAGGTGAAGGAGAAAGAGATGATTTTCCCATGGTTATGACTGAAGTAATTAGAAGTAGTAACTCTATCAACCAACCTAAATTTATTAAAACGTTACAGTTAAATTGCTACTTTTTTGGATGGTGATTAAAATTCCGGTCACCTGTTTTAAAAATTACTCTGTACAAACTGAATTATTTTCATGAATTGTAGCACTCAAAGTTCGTCTAAGTTTACATTTCATTCTTTTTGCAATTGGGTGTATATAATTCTGAGATGTTGGAAGGTCATAATTTGAATTGGTTTTAATAAAATGCTTTAAATTTTTGCCTTAAACCTGTGTTTCAAGAAGGATGGGAGAAGTAAACGGTTCATTTTGTCACTCATATGCTTTCCCTCTCACTAAAAACAATAAAACCCAACCTAGATTCCTAAACTTTCATGTTTATCTCTTCCCTCTAAATTCTTTGTCTTGTTTTACTTCTGGGAGAAGGGAAGAAAACTCAGATTTTAAGCAGTGAGTTTAGCAATAAACTGTGCAACGCTGCTTTTGCAGAGGTGAAAACCAAAAAGCAATTCAGGATAAAGGGAAAAAACAATTCCTTTCTGAGTAAGGTTCATTATGAAATATAGGACTCTTTAAAAAGTGAAGCCACCTACTGCTTTTACTATTATTTTAATACAAACAAAATTAATATGTAGAATTTTTAATTTGTTTTATTTCTCATGCCCTTTTTGCAATCTGCTGTGTCAAACACTCAACTGCTTTGCCAGAGTGGACTATCTTCCGCTGATGGCCATGTATTTAAAGCGGCAGTATAGAAAGCAACTTCTATAGGGTCAGTGATGTTAAAGCTGAAATTCTACAGAATTGATTATGTGTATCACTTCAGGTCACTGTGCTCTAAGCTCTTTTCTGCAGATGGTCCTGATAGAAAAAAAGCAGTTGAGCAGCATTTCAAGGTACATGTGTGTTTAAGTTCCAGCAGGAAAATACTGGAGAAAAAGATAATCAGTGAACAACTATCTTCTAGCAGCATGTGGCAGGACGGAGTAATCTCCACCCAAGATAACCATGATGAGTATACTAGAAACTTAAAATTAATAGGCAGTGTCAAGGCAGGATGGTGCTATTTGCCCTTGACAATCGGTGGTGGTCTGGAAACTCCCTGAAGGTCAGAGCCTGGGCTTCTGCTTTTAGGATGTGTCCTGTAAGCTTACTGTTGTTGTTCTTTTGTTTCATATGTCCTATTTATAGAAATTAAATAGAACAAAGCAAGTAACCAGTGGGGATACAGCAAATAATGTGTAATTATATGTAAAAATAGATATTCTAGAGAGAGCAGAGCACCTCATGAGTAACAGAAATAATGATTATCATGCTTGAAACTGCTTGTTTTTAATGAGAGAGGAAAATGCTTTGGTCCTGAGAGCCTGGGTAGAGCAAAAAAGTAATAGAATCAAAATCGGTCTTCACTTACATTAGTATTGTGAATGTTATTTAGCTAAAATTAATTCCCATGGCTTAACATTGCCATATTCAGATGTATTGTAAAGGTTATGTTTGCAAACTTGTGATTTTTTTGCATAATAGTTGCATTTTGTTGTTGTTTAAATGCATTCAGAACACAGATTTCTGACAGTTTGATTTCAAGAGCTAGTAGCACCATATTGCCTGTAAGCTGGTAGATTAAAATCAGATTCACCACAAATTACATGTGAGTTTGGAGTGGAACAGTGATTTCTTTTATCAAATGATCCTGAGCTCAAATATTTGTCTTCTTTTTCTGGTTAGAAGCAAAGACATTGGGAGTGGGTAGTGCACTGTAATTTTCACAAATCACTGTTGCTGTCATGATCGGTGTTGTTAATACAGTTTACAGCTGATATCTACTCAATCGTAAGATTTTGGGTCTGGAAAAAAAATATCTTGGTTACTTTATCACAGTAGATTTCTTGACTGTTTTTCTCCTTTCTGTCAATTGTGAAGCAAAGATAACTTTCTAGCAATGTGTCCCTGCTACCCTCTAACTGTCAACTTTGTGCAGTTGCTAGGGCTCAACAAACTCTTTGTCCAGCCTGCCTTTATGAAAATGTGCTATCTTAAGACATGATACATTAACATTGCTTTTAAAAGAAAATATTACATTTTGCGTATAAGAATGTGTGTGAAGTGCATTAAAAAGCATTGCATCTGTGAATACTACCCCAGTGGTGCCAGAAAAGATACAGATAATGCTCATCAGCTCATCAGCAGCCATACTGCAGTGTAGGTGTTTGGCTCTGCTTTACCTTTCATAGGTAATTTCAGAAGTTTAAGAGGAAATCTCATTTGAAACACTTTCCCCTGTTTCTTTTAATGTTCTGGCCCTTTCTTTATATCATTCTGGAAGCACAGCACCCTGGTGGAAAGGGAATGGGGGGTTGTTGCATGATGAGTTCATACTGGTGAGAAGGTTGAATTCAGTTCAAGATGGAGATTCACCTACTTCATTCTGAATTAACTCCCCCCCCCCAATTAGCTCATTTCTCTCTCCAAATTGGTTATATTTATTTACTTGCAGTTAACATTTATCAAAAGAAAGATGCACTGCCATCTGGTGTCAAAACTGTGTTCACATGAGCAGACATTTGTATAGAAAACTAATGTGGTGTAACAAGCTTCCTCCAATAAAACTTCCTAAGCTCTGAAGAAGAAAGTAGGCTGTTCAGAATAAGCAGTGTCCATGCTGATGAGCCCTGCACCAAAAAACCCTGAAGAAACACAGTAGTTTAATTTACTGGGAACTTACTTGCTAAAGGGACTTGTTTATAAACATGCTGCTGCTTGTTTCTTCTGCAGGTGGAAGAGGGGGAGATGGATGCCCTGTTATAACCTTTCCGGACTATCCAGCTTTCAGTGAGATCCCTGAAAAGGAGTTCCAGAATGTCCTGGCCTACCTGACAAGCATCCCAAGGTTGAGCACCTGTCTAGGAGGAAATACCCATTTATCTGCAAAGTGATTTTTCACATTTAGTCACATGATGGTGTAAAGATCAGGCCGGTATTTAATTTAAAAAAAGGAAAATGCAGCTATGGTGCAATGTCAGTAAGTGTTGATTAGTCACAGCTGCTTAACATAGTTGTTAGATGAATCAAATAGTGCTATTTATATTTAACCAGAAAATTACTTCCTGGAAGAATGTATGGATAAAGATTCTGTGATGGACATTGTCTTCTTGTTTCTTATCTTTGCTGTATCTTAGACTGCACTGTTCTGTTTTAATTGAAAACATGTATAATTTTGGCAGAGCATGGTAATTCCTAGGTGCTAGTCAAGATGTTACTCAGTGTGAGGGAATACTCTGTAGTTACATACCAAGGTTTGTCCTAACCACTTGTGCTCTGTTTCCCTGGCTCAGCTGAATATACAGTCTTTGCAGAACATCCAGAACTTGGAGGGTGCTAAGCAGGCCTAGCAATTAATCCTGGCCTTCTTAGAGGGCATGGTAGTGTTATCAATGGGCTGCTCAGTAAAAATTGTGATTTTGTTGAAGATCTGTTAGAGAATGGAATAGTGGAATTCGAGGTCTTGTTGGAGGTGAGGAAGGCAAGTAGTAGAATAAAGTACAGACCCTCAACTTCAAGAAGACAGAGTTTAGGCTGATTCAGGGAAATGGTAAGCGGGATTCAATGGAAAGCAAATCTGAAGAGTAAATTTGCTGAGGAAGGCTGCCAAGTTTTTAAGGGCGGCATCCTCCAAGCACAAGAATTGTACACCCTTGCAAATGAATAGACGTAACAGGAGACTGACCTGGCTGAATGGGGAACTTGTGAATGAGTTGCAGTACGAAGACAGCATACAGGAAGTGAAAGAAGGGACAGGCTACAAAAGGAGAAAAAGGAATACAAAAACATTTTCCAGACACATAGGCATGGTTTCAGGAAAGTCAAAGCACATCTGGAACTAAAGGATAAGAAACAAGGGACATCAAGGACTACCCAAAAAAACCCTTCTGTTGCTTTAGCAGTACAGGGACAGACAAGGAAAATGCAGACCTGTGCTGAAGGGGCTGGGTAAATTATGAGCTGCCAACATAGATGAGGCCAAGACACTTAAATTCATTCTTCCCTGATAATGTCTCCCAGACCTGTGTGTTTAGAGTGAGGGTTCACAGAGGAGAATAATTAGCAATGGGTGAGGATCAAGTCAAGGATCTCTTGAGAAATCTTCACTCCAAATTATTCTTTGGGATGAGATGAGCTATATTGAGAGTGGTGAAGGAGACAGGCAATAGGCTTCTCACAGAGATGGGCAGTAGGGAAAGACAAGCTAATGGCTGGAATGGGAACAGAATGGTTCTGACCTGGATGTAAGAGAAAAACTTTGTTGCTGGGAGAATAATGAAGCACAGAGACAGGCTGCCAAGAGAAGTTATGGAGTCTCTGCTGTTGGAGGATTTCAAGATCTGCCTGTAAAAACAACCTGGCTGTCAACAACCTGGCATGAATTTAGAGTTGATCATGCTTTGAGCAAGAGGTTGGGCTAGAAACCTCTTGATTCCCTTCAAATCTAAATCATTGTATGAATAGAGATCTCCTTATGTCTTTCCCAAATTGGGCTATAAGGCTTTCTCAGACTAAAAAGCCTTAGAGATGCAGGTTGTGTAATGTTCATGAAATGTTGATCTCAAACTGTATTTTGCTTTCTTTTTGCTGACAACATTCAGTACATCTTAGCATGGATTATGCTGAATTCACATTTGGAGCTATTCATGGCAGATGTCCTTTATGCATGTATATGCTGTTGTTTACTGTACGTGTGTGAAGAGAAAAAGTAATGGTCTTGTAAAGGGCCTTCCTCGTAATTATTTTGAAGGACCTGCTCGCTGTGAGGTACCACTGGTTATATGCAACGCAGTACTGTGAGGTGCCATCCTGGTTGTACTTGTTAGTTCCTAGTTCATTTCAGAGAATGAAGCTGGGGAGCTAGCAGCCAATTGTTGCATTTTCTTTGTTTATCCTTGTGTTGTTTAAACTGCATGGTGCTAAGCCTCCATTGGTGGTATCTTTCTTAGATACTGTTATTACAAATAATTGTGTACTAAATTCACATCTGCTCCTCCTTTTGAAAGTCCTTGGTGGTGCTCTTCATGGTGGCCCATTGAACTTCTACACAGAGTGTGGTATATGTGAGAAATTCTGATCAGAACAAACATCATCTGGTGCGGGGAGGGGGAGTGCTGAGTGCATCCCAGAGCATCGGTTTGGCAGGAGCATGTTTTTACTAATTGGAAGTCTTGGAGGAGATTTCTGGAGGCTTTTCTGTTAATTTCCCCTACCTGACAACAATGTATATTGAAGTAGAAGTGGCCATTCCTAAAGTCTGGTGGTTCTTCTGGGATTTTCTTCTTTCTTTAATTTGCAATTCTTTAGGAAGAGATTGTTGTTCTGTGCAAATGAAGGAGGTAGCCCAGCTGGCTAGATGTGAACAGTAAGGTATTAATTATTGTAAAAATTACAATACTTCAGGTGTTAGGGCGATAACACTTCAATTTCAACCTTGTAAAAATAATACCACTGTAAAGATGCTGATAAACCTGAGACCCGTTTGTGCCTGAGAATTGCTATAATCTGAAAGGGCTGAAGACACTCCTGACATTTGCACTAGAGGTGTTACAAGCTTACTGTATAAAATTTGTGTGTTTATGAGCCCATGTGCAGGCTTACAGGAATAAAAACTTACAGAAATGCCACTAGCTAGATGTTAGCATACATCCCTTTAGAAAGTGTGTTTTGCTAATGGTAAGTTATTCACAGTGTATACCTCAAAGAGGGGACAGGTTTGCAGTGTTCCTTGAATTGTGATTATTTCTAGTGCTGTTAAAGGTGTCAAAAAGTAGGATTTTTGGTGTTATCTTAGTTTTCAAGAGCAAAAATTTCAAATACTGTTTTGGATACTTTATAAACTGCTTTTGAGGGAAGTGGAGGCAGTTAATTTTTTTTTATTTTGTAAGTTTATTAAAGAGTAGCAAGGAGTACAGATTTACAGGAAGGACAGGAATACAGCCCACAGCTTTTATGCTTGAACTGCTCTCCAGATTAGTGTTACATAGGTTATAAAATACATAACTCTGGTTTTGGGCTGTTTTGACCAAGTAAGGGGAAATGGACTTTTCTAGCCCCTCAGAGCACAGACATGTCTGGAGCCACAACAGTTCCTCAGAAAGCTACTTGTGCTACTTGGTCCTGTACAAGATTTGTGGTCACAGCAAGGGGTTGGCAGCAATAACTCAAAGCTCATTGTCTGACTGCCTGCAGATGCATGTTAGGGGAAATGATATTTCATGGGAATGACAGTGAGGAGCTTCTAAAAGCCTCATAAGAAAGGACCTTTCTGTGCTCTGCAGTGGAGTTGACCCAATAAAATATTTACTGGTATAATAAATCTTAGCAGTGGCATCAGGATTTCAGGTTTTGTTCCCAAGTGAAAGAAGTAGTGTTGGTAATAAGACTAGCTTAGGACTTTGTTGAAAGAGGTAAAATTGAAACCTCTTAACCTACCTTTGTTATTCCCTCTAATTTAAAGGTAAATATGACCTTGTCCCCTCTTTTTGCATTCTTCTTTTATACTATCTAACCACTAAGTTTTGCAAGCTCTTTTTGTGTAAACTTTCATCTTTTTCATAGTGAACTTTAATCATGAAGAGTTAAGCGTCTCATGGGGAGCCTTGCATTTAGAAATAGAACTATTGTAAGCTGCATGTTACCAGCTTAGATGACCATGGAGTAGAATAGTGCAAACAGTAGAGTTACCAGCATGTGCTCAGATGTGTAAATGCCTGATACATGAGGATGTTAAGAAAGAGACAGTGGAAAGGGAATACCTCATCTCAATTTAAGATACTCAGTTAACCCTGGTGCAACTGTATATCATTAAGCAGAGAGCTGAACCATCTTCTTCAGGTGGGTGTTGTTAAAGTTGCAAGGTCAATTCAGGTTTACGATGTGTAATGTGTGGTTTGTAATAATCTCATAATATTCAGTACAGATTCAGACGTAGTGTGTGGCAATAGTCACGTACCTTGTGTACTTAAAGATTGCTGCTTTATCAGGAAAAAATGATGAATTAAGGATGAGTACCATATGTAGTGGAAGATGACAGCTAATGTGTTGTAAACCTGTAGGTGTAATACTTCTGAATCAGGTTTTTGCCTTTAGCAGATAGTATTTTTTTAATTATAATTACTATTGAATGGCAAGATAAGGTTTTTTTAAAAAAGGTGAGTATTCTCTTTGAAAGATATTCTTTTAGGTCAATTGATTTTTGGTTTTATACATATAGTACTCTAGATGAAAGAAGGAGAATCCATGGCAGTATGTAGTGTACTTAAAGCAATACTTTTTAGGAAGAGTATTTGAGCTAAAATGCTGAATAGGTACAAATACTTTACATATAAGTATTGATCCATGGGAATTAATAGTTCTTATTGATGGAGTTGCTGAATAAACTATAATAAGTGTCTGTAAATAAGTGTCTGTAAGAGGCCAGCTCTTTAAATTCAACTGGGTTTCAGTAGAGGATAGTGAGCAAAGTCTTGCATCTATTTGAGATCCTTTGAGGCCATTTTATAATGTCCACGTAGCTGGTTTGATTCTCTCTCTGCAGAGAAAAATGTCTCCTATTACTTCATGGCTTGAGAACATTGGGGATTGCTGCTGAGCTGGGTCATGGAAAAGGAGGCCATGTAGAGCAAGACTGTCTAGCCTCTTAACTGAGTAAAAAAACTAATGACCTCCATATGCAGTGTCCATCATTCTACTGCAAAGTGGGAGAAGCACCTGTTGGATATACCTTTTATAACCCGCATATACCAAGGTTGGAGAAAATATGTTCCAGTCAGGTTTGCAATAGGCTCCTGAAACAGCTGCCACCTGTACCCTTAAGAAGTCATCTTAGGGTACTCTGTTTTCTCT